TCCTCAAATAGTTCCCTAATTTTCTGTGAGTGCCCATTGATGTACGCTGGAGTGGTGATATCGATATGTAACCGAATTATTGCAGATAGGAAATACTTTGTTGATTTCCACGTAGTTACTACAAGGGGGTTAAGTAGTATGATATGCAGTTGGTATGATTTAGATCATACTTTCGGTGTGTAAGGCCGTATGTGTCCAGCAAGAGGCTGGTAAATTTACAATTCTTTAAAAGTGGTCATGTAATTCATTTGACTATCTTTGATCATAAATTTAACTAAACCATTATGGGTATGTACATAGAGTACTGAATGCAATCATAAAAGTCTCGTGAAATGAGTTTAACGACATTGTCCATTCGAATGGGTTTATAGATCCTGGTTTCAGGAGAATTTGCTCTTACTTTGATAAGTTGAGCAATTTATTTAGTAAGATCATGCATGGTTGTGTGTCATAAGAGACACACTTCAAAACATTTTATGAATGTGTATATGAGTACCATGAAGTATCTAAATTACCCCAGATAATGGTTAAGGAATCCAGACATATTTTTTGAATGTGTTCAAGGGAGAATAAGTGTCCTCCTTAGAATTTTAAGGTGAGAGTGCCTTAAAACTTATTTCACCTATGTCACATGCGGTGCACATAAAATCTGATGATTTGGGAAACTTTTATAACTTGATAAGTTATGACCAACAAGATTGTCAATAATTTTCTAATCATCCCCAAAACAGGATGGTTAAGGCTACCAAGCCAAATATTTAATTTATTAAGATCTAGAAAATTATTGTGTACGCAACAATATTGAGTATGACTTGATTCATACATTCAGAATTTATCAAATATCATGTCTGAGAAATAAGATATTGGACATCGCACTACTTGTAGTACAACAAGTATAGGCTAATAGTATTTTGGGATAATTAAGAGATTACATGAGGTCTCCAATATTATTTATTTCGCAAACATATCATCGTAACATCCTTTTATTGCACTAGATTTTTGGTTCTCGACTTCTGATGAAAATTTGAGAACAATCATTTACTAGAATATTTTCTGGTTGTAAGTTTGGAAATTTTAAAATTTATCCCAAGTATGTGGTGTGGTTTGACTATGTATCTTAGGGTTTGGTAATCATACGTATAATCTTTGTATAGCCACACATTTGACAAACTTGAGAGTTGTCTTTGTGATCGTTTGAAAACGATATATTCCTTACTAAGAGGTAATTTTGTCTTTGGTTGCCTATTATCCTCCACTTTACTTCGAATTCCTCATGGTTCTATTTTGTTACCACTAACTTGCATAGTATTCTCGGTACTAGCAAGAATTTCAAATAATGGTATAGCACCCGTTGGGTGAATATGATGATTTTAAGAAATTCCATGTTTCTTCATCATAAAAAAATGGCAGTACCATCTTAAGAGGAGGTAAAGTGTATAAGGAATTTTCAACCGGATCTACATATGAAAATATTTGATCACGGGATATCAACTTGAAAGTTGATTAAGTGACAGAATTGTGAGATGCAATAGACTTGAGGTCTTGAAAAATGAATGGGTGATCATTCGTGATGTGCTCATGGCAGCATGTTTCTCTTAAGGAAAATATTCAAAGTGAATAAATACTCATCCATAATGTACTTAGTTTGAGAACTAAGTGAAGTTTGCGACATATGAAATGAATATGTACATATTTTGCTATCAAGAGAATAGCCATGGAATTTTTCGAACATGGGGTTAGTCACTATAAAATAACAACCAAAAATGTGATGTGGATCTTGTAATAGTGTTTGAGACACTTGATCTTTGCTATAAATTATGGTCTCCACCTTGATGTATGGACGACAATATTATCACAAATAGTAATATTTGTGTAATTTTCCACGACTTATTCAAGCAAAATGATGCTTAAATAATTGATACTAGAAGAAAAATGCCATTTTAACATGTAAGATCAATATTATTATTATTATTTTACTATGAGAGTAAATAATTTTAGTGAACAACAATAATTGCTTCAGAGGAGCAAATTTTATGATAGCTGATGCTATACACTCATGTGTAGACCTCAATTTATAGAGCATAACACTTTGAAGATAATAACCGGATACGGTGTAGATCTCGCAGTAATAGAAAACATAGTCTGACTTTTGTCAGTAGATGTTCATAATTCTATTACCTTATGTTATGCAAAATGTGTGGAATCACTTTGAAGGTAATCATCTGTGAAAGTGACATGATGTAGACCTTGCAGTAATAGTGGATAATCTGCAAAATTTGCAGTAGATGCCAGTATTACCTTATGATATCTTGAGGTAGTCACATATAATATTAATATTTGGAAGAGCACTTCGAAGGTAGTCATCTTGTTAAAATAACAAGGTGTAGACCTCACAGTAGTGGTGGATAATCTGCAAATGATGCAGTAGATACCACCAATACCTTGTGATTCACAAATAACATTTGAAATAGTCACATTAATATTTGGAAAAAGCACTTTGAAGGTAGTCATCTTATCAAAATGACAAGACGTAGACCTCACAGTATTGATGGATAATCTGCAAATTACACAGTAGATGCCATCATACCTTGTGATTCGCAAATAAAATATGATGTAGTCATATTCAGTATGACACTTCACAATCCTTGTTTTGAATTTACATCATGATTTGCAAGAAGAAGAAGAAGAAAAATCAATTGCAAAACATAGTTGTTGCACATATCATAAAGAATGCTAGTATCTTTGGGTCCATTCCGGATGGAATGATCGATGCACCCATTAACATAGGCTAAATCCCTGGGGACTCAACCAATATGATTCAACAAGGTATTTACTAAAATCTAAAATGACATTAAGCCTGATGGCTTCTGTTGAAGGAGTACTACTACTAAGTCTGATGGCTTGCAATACAGAATAGCAGAGGGTTGGTTCGACTGCATAAAAACAGAGAACTTGTGGGCCTATATGCTAGTTACAGAACTTATATGCTAATAAGGGTAACTAGACGTGGTAAAACGTCAAATGACCGAAGAGATAAGATGCTCTTGTCTTTCTCTCTGTAGCCACGAACGATTGATTCGCTTGGTTCGTCGTTGCACAGACTACATCTCCGTTTTGAAGAATTATTAGGAAGGGCGGTTGTGTTGCCGATTGAAAGTCGTCGTGCTGCCTCATGGGTTTTCTTCACGCTGGGCTCCGGCCGTTGGCCGCTCCTGTCCGCTGGACGTCGCCTGGGGCACTGCGCTGCCTCCCCGTAGAGGGCCGCTACCTCAGGCCGCTGCGGCGCGCTGGAGATGGCGAGCAGCCGCCAAATGCGCTCGCCGTCAGTGGAGAGGACCGGCCGAGAGCCATATCTTCGGGTGCGGCCGCGCGTCTCGGCCGTTGGACGCCTGTGCCGCCAGATCTGTGAGTCACGCCAGCGGGAGAGGTCATATGTGCGTTGCGCCGGATGGCCTCTCCATGCCACGCGCCTGGGACGGCCTTGCCGCGGGAAACGACGCCACTCGTCGTGGAGCAGCGTCGCGGGCGCCGCGTCGAATATTGCGCCGCGAAGACGCACGCCGGTGCCGAGGGCCTGGGGATCCGTCAACGAGGACGACGTTGTGGCCGGAGAAAAAGGGAGTCCCTGGTGATTCACGGATGTGTGTGAGGGCGGTCGCCCATCGGTGCTGTCGCTCTTCACTCTTCGCGGCCTAATCGCTCTTTTAGGGCAAAGTGCTGATAACGTGTTTAGAGAGAAACGAGAGAGAGGAGCAAATGATGGAATAGTTCTTTCATTGATTGAACATTGGGGTATTTATACCCTCGTTACAAGGCGGTTACAAAGGAGACGGTTGCCAAACATGGCCACCGACATTAGCATAGATTAACAATTAATTAACCTATTAATTAATTTCTAACAGGTTTAATTAGGAAACTCTGGAGGACGAGTGGCATTAAGCATGCAGCGGTGACAAATTGGTACACATGTACTACACACTTAAGCAAGTTTTCTAATGCAAGGTTAAAGTGTTTTTCCTGTATTCCACACGGGAAGAAATGTTGTATTTTCTTTGGGGTAAAGACCGACCGTAGCTGAAACAAACAAAATAAATTTATAACATATATAAACACATGATAGAACACACCTAGCGTAATATTTGCTAGCCTAAAAACCTCTTAGCCAAGGGCGAAGATGGTACAGAGTTTTGGGTTCAGCCGGACCCAAAAAAACTCATCAAATGCTCAATGTATTAGTTTTTAACATCGACTGTTAGGGAAGAATACATCGACAACCAACGGAGCTAAACCTAATGGATGTTTCCCCTTTTCAAGAATTCATCCGATTAATTAGTTAACTTGCCGATTAATCCCTACTCATATGGTTCCCGAGTAGTCGATTACCCGATAAATCATCTGATTAATTGATTAAATGGCCGATTAACTTGGCGGTTAGCCTATTAATCTCCTACTCACCAGCCGACCGAGCAGCTACCAGTTAACGATTTCCTCAACAATGGATGTTTCTTTAGCTTCACCCATGTTCTTAGCTTAATGGCAAAAATGTACATTCCCCACCTAATAATAGGAGCAGGAACTACGGCTAACATTATTTTTCTTCTGCTACTACTTTTTTTAATAAAATGGTTGTGTGCATCACTTGATGCAGAGGCCGGGGTAATTCTTCTTTTCAAAAAAACCTTTTTTTTCTTTGTATTCATATGTTATTAGAAGCCCGCAAAGTGCTAACTAAAAGGACCATAAACTCTAGTGCAATTGTCTCGGGTCGATGAATGATGATGTTAATAAAAAATTTGACCATCAATAAAATACGTATGTCGTAGCATTTTTTGTTTTTTGGGAACAAGTATGCCATAGCATCTATCCTTACACATGTCACTACCCTCGGTAGCTACCTATAAATGCTAGTGGCGACTGGCGAGCCTCTTGCAAACCGGGGTGCGCTCGATCGTCATTCAGCTGCGGGGTACAGGCTGACCGCTCTGCGCACGGTGACCAACATGCCAGCACCCAAGGGGACGAGGAGGAGCCTCGTACTGAGGACCGTGGAGCGGTGCAAGTCCGGGACCGGGCGAAGCGGCGGCGCAGCGTCGGCGGTGGCCGCCGGGCGCTTCTCGGTGTACGTCGGGGCGGAGCGGGAGCGGTTCATGGTGCGCACCGACTGCGCCAACCACCCGCTGTTCCGGCGGCTCCTCGACGACGCCGAGCGCGAGTACGGGTACGCGTCGCAGGGCCCGCTCGCGCTGCCGTGCGACGTCGGCACGTTCCTCGGCGTCCTGTGGCAGATGGACCACGGACACCACCACGACGACGACGACGACAGTGCCGGCGGCGAGGAGATCCGGGAGGCGGCGTCGCCGATATGCGGCTTGCTGCTGGGTGGCCGCGGCAAGTGCCGGGCGGCTGGGTACCGCCGGATGCTCAGCCGGGCGAAGACGTCGTGGGCCACCGGGCAGCAGCTTCTCCCACGGTTCACACTTGGCAGTTAGCATCTGGCAGAAGGAAATTAATAAACTTATTGACCCGCATTTGGTCATAGTCATACCACACCAAGCTCTGCGTTTATCCGGATTAGTTGGAGATTCGCATACGTATAAGTATCCACATGTTGACCTTGACCAATACGGTATTATGTTTACCAATACTGTATACGGGAGTCTGCTGTTCTATATATATAGTGTATAAATATCCACATGTCGCCCTGCAAAAAAAAAATTCCACATGTCGCAGTGAGAAAGTAATTTCACTGCCCATTCGCCCATGCTTTTTAGTTTGATTTTCAAGTTTGTACCATTTATAACTGTTGAACCAAATATCTTATATGTATCCATTTGGATATTAGTGTTCATGGTATTTAAATCTTCAAATAAGTTCAATCTTGGACACGTAAATTTAAAACTTGAGTTTTGAAACTATAATGAAACTAAATTATTACTTTTGACTTATTTCATTTGATTTTTTGTTCTACTAATTTACCATGTGTTACTTATAACATTCAGATTTCATTTTGATGTTTGAGCTGTCATACCATTTCGTTAAATTATCTTTCATGGTTTGAGCTTGGCTATAAACATGTTTTTCCTTGCTTCTTCAAGCAGGAGATCCCGAATCCCCATGACATCAGACTCCCATTTTATTACCTGTGTGCCATGATCACATTAAGCTGCATGGTAACATATTTTCAATATCATTTCATATGTGTGTCATCGCAATTTTACATGTCTTCATTATTGTTTCATTACAATCTCTTTTGCATGGTCATTATTGTTTCCTATCGCATTTCATTAAAGTTTAATATATACTAGAAGGGTTGGGTGCGCTTTGCCGCGCTGTTGTTATTATTAGGATTCTTAGAAAAATATTCACTCTATTTTAAAATATAAGGTGTATGACTTTTTTGAAAATTCAAACTTCTTTAAGTTTGATAAAATTTGTAGAGAAATACATGGAAACCTATAATATCAAATCGGTGTCAGAATTTCCATATTTTTTTTGGTTTAACATCATGGTTGTCGATAGTTTTGACTCTGAACTTGGTCAAAGTTAAAATTTTTGAAATTCCAAAAAACTAATACCCCTTATATATTGGAACTGATAGAATATTTAGTTTGGTGGATGGAGGAGATGATGCAATATGTTTTATGTTTATTTATAATACAGTTATTTGGTTGGCCTTTCATGGCGTGATTATATGCTATCCGGTAATCAACCCATATTTATATGGGGAAATTTCCGTGTAGGTACCTGCATGTACTATATTGGTACTATATATAGTATCACGTGGTGTCTCTTTTTGTAGATGGTGAAAGGGTGCACGGGGTTGATATGTTTTTATAGGCCGGCTGCTGCTGATTGATTTGAAAAACGTTGGCTCGATGAAAATCATACACCAAATCCAAAATTCAATACCTCAAACGAATGAGAGAACTTCAAAATTAGAGAACATAGTTAATTAAAATAATTAAATGGAAGAGATCCTTGAGAACTTGTGGAGCCGGTCAAACCGGTGACCCAGTTCTAAATTAAAAACCTTAGTTAATAGAGAGACCTTAAAATTAGGAAGCATATGTTGGAAAAATGCCCTAGATGCAATAATAAATTGGTTATTATTATATTTCCTTGTTCATGATAATCGTTTATTATCCATGCTAGAATTGTATTGATAGGAAACTCAGATACATGTGTGGATACATAGACAACACCATGTCCCTAGTAAGCCTCTAGTTGACTAGCTCGTTGATTAATAGATGGTTACGGTTTCCTGACCATGGACATTGGATGTCGTTGATAACGGGATCACATCATTAGGAGAATGATGTGATGGACAAGACCCAATCCTAAGCACAGCACAAGATCGTGTAGTTCGTATGCTAAAACTTTTCTAATGTCGAGTATCATTTCCTTAGACCATGAGATTGTGCAGCTCCTGGACACCGTAGGAATGCTTTGGGTGTACCAAACGTCACAACGTAACTGGGTGGCTATAAAGGTGCACTGCGGGTATCTCCGAAAGTGTCTGTTGGGTTGGCACGAATCGAGACTGGGATTTGTCACTCCGTGTAAACGGAGAGGTATCTCTGGGCCCACTCGGTAGGACATCATCATAATGTGCACAATGTGACCAAGGAGTTGATCACGGGATGATGTGTTACGGAACAAGTAAAGAGACTTGCCGGTAACGAGATTGAACAAGGTATCGGGATACCGACGATCGAATCTCGGGCAAGTATCGTACCGATAGACAAAGGGAATTGTATACGGGATTGGTTGAATCCTTGACATCATGGTTCATCTGATGAGATCATCGTGGAACATGTGGGAGCCAACATGGGTATCCAGATCCCGCTGTTGGTTATTGACCAGAGAGATGTCTCGGTCATATCTGCATGATTCCCGAGCCCGTAGGGTCTACACACTTAAGGTTCGATGACGCTATGGTTATAGGGAAAGTATGTACGCGGTTACCGAATGTTGTTTGGAGTCCCGGATGAGATCTCGGACATCACAAGGAGTTCCGGAATGGTCCGGAGGTAAAGATTTATATATGGGAAGTCCTGTTTTGGTCACCGGAAAAGTTTTGGGTGCTATCGGTAACGTACCGGGACCACCGGGAGGGTCCCGGGGTTCTACCGAGTGGGGCCACCAGCCCCAGAAGGCTGTGTGGGCCAAGTGTGGG